TAGATTATTTTCAAATTAAAAATTCCATAATTTATTATTTTATTTTAATAATTGATAGTTTTCAAGAAGCTGAAGTATTCGCGATCGTATCTTGACTTTTCGGTTCAATAAGTAATTCTGCTCATCTCTCATGTTGTTTTGTGAAGCTCACATATATTTCCGAGAAAAATAATAATCTCGATTATAATCGATTAAAGCTTAATGAAACACATTAATTTTAATTAATATTTCTATACATGATATCTGAAAAACTCTCAGCTGTTTTCATTGATTTGCACAAATTATATTCGATTTTTTTTCATCAAATTTCAATCGATTATAATCGAAATTAATCATAATAATCAATTATGATTTTTCAATTAATTTTGAGTAAATTCAATTGAAAACACATGATAGTAATCTATTTTGAATCCACTTTTAATTAGCTATAATCTTACTTTAATTCGAATTTTTCTACATGGACAGTGTCCATTTAAAATAGCGAAGAATTTCTAAGTGTTTCCTCTGTCTATAAAGAACAGCTCGATTATGATTAGTATATGAACAAAAAATGAAAAGTGCTAAAAGACATACATCAAGATGTATGACAGAAGTCAATAAATATAAAAGGAACACACAGAAAAGGTGTCAGTTGATCAAATTTAAAAGAAACATTCAACTTTTTCCAACTGATTTTTTTTCGCTAACTGCCATTATATATGAATTACTAAACTGCTTAAAATATTTGCAACCGAAGACGATTTAATTATGACGACTAACAGATAAACGAAGTTCTTCAGATGTAAAAACTTCGTAACATATTGTTCAAGCTAAACATCAGAGAATTCTCATATCAACTATCGATTTATACCAGAGATATCCATAGAGCAGAGCATCCTATTTATAATCTTCGGTACCCTACAACCTAGAAAATCAATTTTCAAATGTTTATCCTGAAGAAGAGATTCCTTGTAGTCTTTGAGGATCATAAATTAAAAAATAGATTGTAGAACGCGATATCAACTGATATTTACAGTTTATCTCTTGAGATCTGCATCCAAACTAGTATTGTCTGTCAAATGTGAGAATCAAAAATCCAGAATAATTTTCAAGAATCAGTTTTAACTGATTAAACTATTTTTATGTTCAACTAGGTTATGCATAGCGTTATTGTTTATTTCAAGAAAATTACTTAAAGTGAAACAAAAGATAATATACATCAAAATAAAAGTAACTCAAAGAAAAGAAACTTCGAAAACACATATATTTCGATATTAATTACCACGTTGTTTTTTTTTATATGATAGTTTTCGTTAAACAATGTTTTAGTTTATTAGAAAGAAGTTTTATTTAATATACAATGATTTTGTTGATCATTGCCTGAAGTTTTCAATAATCGAATGGGAGAAGATGGATAAAAAAATCTATGCAAGAATAAAAAAAAATAATTAGTTGTCTGGACAGATTAGGAGGAGAACGAATCTCAACCTCTTTCAAATCATAAAATATGATTGAATATGTCAAAAAAACAAGTGAAAACAAAAAGTACCTGAAATTCGAGATTTTTCTGGAAAATTCAGAAAATCTAGCAGCAAGAAGTCGAATAAACATGAACAGAACCAAAGAATATATGTATAACTAAAATGCCTCTCGAAAATTTATTTGTATTTTCTTGTCTAATAATTTGTCATACTTTAATGAATGAATGTCGTTCAAAAATAGTTAGGGCATACCAAAACTAGAAACAGTGACAATCGAATCGTAGATTATAAATGTTTCTAATATTGATTTCTGAAGTATTTTAGCTCGATTTTCTAATTATCGGAAAAATGTTCTTTTTTATGAAAAACGAAAAAAGTACAAAAGTGAACGGTTTTCACAGCTTTTGGTAGAAAATCGTATTGGAGGCTCGACTAAAATGCATATCATTCATCTCAGTCTTTGACAGTTTATAGGTCTTCGATTAGTGGTCTGAATTTATACTTGATAACTAAAAATTCACTGTAAACAACTTGCCAGATATCCTTGTTCTTAAAAAAGTCAATTGAAAACCTTGCAAAAAACATAATAGAAAATCCTGGAGTATACAGTTCGATGTGTCTTCGCCTCTTTCCAACAGTGAAAACCGCAGTTCTCTATCTTGTTGTTGTCAAAGGTTATTCAAAAAATACGATTGAGTATGTTTTGAAAATGAGTATTAATCCAACCAGCACATATGATAACGAAACAGATCTTATCGAAATTTTATTATTGTGATATTAATTGAAGCATGATCAAATATCAAAGAAAAATAGAACATTCTTTCCTCTATCAGACTATATAGAAAGAAAGTTTCCTAAAGCTTAATATTCAATATTAAAGTGTCACTGCCCCTACTTTTGGTATTCTCTAAGCACTTTTATATTATTAGGACTGTTTAAAATAGTACTATTGATTGTTTTATTCTAAGTGATATTTGTATGTTAACTTTGATTAACTATCCTTATCTTTTTGCAGAAATAAGCTATTACTAAACATCAACATTTTTGAAGTGTGATTCCATCACGACTCTATTTTTCACCTGTGAGACAGAGCTACTATACATTTTGAATCGTTTTCTTTTCTATATATAACTATTCATCTAAGCTATAACTTTCGTATACAAAGCTTTTTTATCACTCCTGTGGTTGAGCTAAAATTTTTAGTTTTTCACACAACACTGCAACTTGATGTTCATTTTTGGTGATTCCGTCACGAACCTACATTTAAATCATAAAACTATAAAAGAAGGACAAAATTGAACGAAACTTTCATGATATGTAGAGCAGTCCAGCTTATATATCTTCTGAGAGTAATTAGCGTTATCTGATTTGAATGTGTTGAGATATTAAGAAAAGAAAGTGAAAAAACGTGATTCCTTCACGCTTGGACAGATCGATCTTCGTTTGTTAGTTCTGCATGCATCAGTTCAATAATAGGATCTAGACAAGACCGTATCAGAATCGCCATTCGAACAGCTTGATATAACTTCGCTAATATCTAGTGAAATCTCACCGGTATCCCCAATTCGAATGTGTAGGATAACCTTCGCAAGATCTGTATTAATTATCGATAACATGATGTAATCAAGAATTTTGTCCTATCACGTACAAAGCATCCTCAAAGATGCATATTGAATCCTTAAGATTCTTCAAAAACATAGAAATTATATCTTCTCAGTTGAGGAGTGTTCTACAGAGTTCATTATTTCATTACGTAAATTCTTATCTAATGTTCATATAAATAAACATGGAATTAGCATTACTCTTTCTCGGAAAAATATCCTTATAGCAATCTCTACGTGTTGTTTTTCGGGTCAAAAAGATCTTGGCAAGAACTAAAAGTGACATAGATATAAGAATCGTTACGAAATCCTTCTTTTTTATACGGAATTAGGAAAATACTTCTGAATTTTTATCTGCAGAAAGAATATTTTCAAAGACGAATGTCGTATTTGTAGCACTTGCTCTCATGAGAAATGGGATCCCTTCGACAATGACGATTTCTTTTCTTTTTCGTTTATTGTAGTAATTCCCAATATTCTAGCCGATGCCCAATGGAAACAGAATGGAGTGACTGTTGCTGGAGGTCATGGACTAGGCAATGACACCAATCAACTCTACTACCCTTGGGGTCTCTTCGTTGATGATGATCAAACGGTGGTCATCGCTGACTTCAATAATCATCGTATCATCCAATGGAAGATGGGTGATACGAATGGACGAGTAGTAGCTGGTGGCAATGCCACAGGAAATCGATTAGATCAACTGAATGGTCCAATCGATGTGTTGATTGACAAAGAGACGAATAGTCTCATTATTTGTGATTCGAGGAATCGACGAGTAGTACGATGGTCTCGTCGTAGTGGTACAACTCAAGGAGAAATCTTCATCGACAACATCAGTTGTTGGGGATTGGCCATGGATGATCAGAGATATCTCTACATCTCTGACACCGACAAACATGAAGTAAGACGATATCAAATAGAAGACAAGAATGGAACTATCGTGGCTGGTGGCAATGGCAAAGGTGCTGGTCTCAATCAACTCAACATTCCGACCTACATCTTTATCGATCAACAACAGACTGTCTACGTGTCAGACAGAGGCAATCATCATGTAATGAAATGGAATAAAGGTGAAAAAGAAGGAATTGTCGCCGCTGGAGGTCAAGGCGATGGGAATGCTCTGACGCAATTGTCGTCTCCTACAGGACTGTTCGTCGATACATTGGGTACTATTTATGTGGCAGATTTTGGGAATCATCGAGTAATGCGTTGGCCTAAAGGAGCAAAACAGGGTACTGTTATTGTGGGTGGAAATGGTAAAGGAGAAGGAGCAAATCAGCTCTACGATCCCATTGGTTTGTCCTTCGATACACATAACAATCTCTATGTCGTCGATTGTAACAATTCTCGTGTTCAACGATTTTCAATTGAATAAACAATACAATGGATTATTTTTTTTCTTTCTCTCAAATAAACCACGTTGAATTGATGAAATGAATGGTTTATTCTATTCGCGCGCGCGCGACCAGGAACCATCCTGGTGGAGTCGTGGCGAGCGTAACGCTCATGCACGCACGGGACAGACCCATATCATTCATATTCCTCCCACTCGAGAGATATGTCAATGAGTCTGGGAGAGCCCGGTCGTGTGCCACGGACACCAAGATAGTTCCTGGCCGGGTTTTTAGGGCCTACCCGGAAGGCCTGTAACTAACGAGGATCTAATCTCAATGGACATAACTCACCCCTTCCTCCTACTAACACTTACTTTTCTAAGTCTCACCCTATTCTCATCTCAAAAAAAAAAACATTACTCACCCCATTTTGATGTTGAACGATGTTGATTACGACGCGATGATATTGAGAACTAGAAAGAAAAAGAAAAAAAATAAATTTAATGTTATATAATGGAAAAAAAAGAATGAGTTAAATTACCCCACTGTTATTTTGTCATAGTTGAAAATATTCATCGAATCTAAGACAAAAGAAAAAAAAATTAATTAAAAAGATTATAGGAAGTCTTACCCCACCATCCTTATAATCGTTAAATTAAAAAAAACAAAGCAAAAAAATTAAAACTGATACCTACATTTTTTTTTATTGTATCGCCTCCCATGAAAAAAAAATTTGCAAAAAACCGCGGAAAAACGCATCCTCAAAAACCGCGGTTTTAGTCGGTTTTTTTCGATCACAGGAGTCAAACCATTAATGCAGCTTTTGAAAACCGCGGAAAAGCGCGTCCTCAAAAACCGCGGTTTTCCACGGTTTTTAAAAGCTGCATTAATGGTCTGACTCCTGTGATAAAAAAAAACCGGCTAAAACCGCGGTTTTTGAGGATGCGTTTTTCCGCAGTTTTCAAAAGCTGCATTAATGGTTTGATTCCTGTGATCGAAAAAAACCGGCCAAAACCGCGGTTTTTGAGGACGCGTTTTTCCGCAGTTTTCAAAAGCTGCATTAATGGTTTGATTCCTGTGATCGAAAAAAACCTGCCAAAACCGCGGTTTTTGAGGGCGCGTTTTTCCGCGGTTTTCAAAAGCTGCATTATTGGTCTGACTACTGTGGTAGAAAAAAACCGGCTAAAACCGCAGTTTCATAGACCGAGTTTTGTCGCGGTTTTTTGTGAAATTTCTTTGTGAGAGATCCCAATTCTTCTCATTTCCATGGAGTTACCATGATATATCAAAAAAGTATGATTGTTTTACAAGTTATAGTACGCGTACCATAACTTGTAAAACAGTCATACTTTTTTGATATATCATGGTAACTCCATGGAAATGAAAAGAACTGGAACCGTTGGCCAGACTGGGTACTCCATCTATTTTGATTAATACTTACTGTTTGATCCATAATTGGTAGTAATCTAAAAAGAAAACAAAAATTATTTATTTAAATTATTACTTACTGTTCAGTTCGACGTTGATATTGATCCAAAATGAATCTAAAATAAAAAAAATTATTTAAATAAACACTCACCGGTGATTTCGATATTGAGATTAATCTAAAATAAAGAAAAAAATTTGTTTATATAAATAAATACTTACTGTTCATTTTGAACTTGAGATTGATCTGAAATTAAGAAAAAAAATTATTTAAACAAATGCTTACTAATTATTGGGATGTTAATATAGAGTCAAAACTCTTTTTTGCAACTATCCACGAAAGTTTTTTTGTTAGTGTGGTTCTTTTATAAAATATTTCTCTGAATAGTTTTATAAAAAATATACATAAACATCAATGCATAAGTTATTATGCAAACTTGAGTATACAAAAATAGTGCAGATGAATACCCACATTAATATATCTAAGAAAAATTAAATCTTGAATACCAGAAATTGAAAAATTTACCTTTTGTAGTCAAACATCTCTATATTATTTTTGATTGATGTTAATGATGAGTTTACTTGTTGTGTGCAGGACATGCAAGCGAACATTATTTGGCAAAGGATCCAAAGCACAAATAAAAAAGCAGGTTATCCTCAACTTTCTAGCCAACTAATTACTAATAATTAGAAAGCATATCGTATAAAGATGATGTAACGTGGAAAAGATGCAACAAACAAATAATCTGTAACAGGAAGTTACACATTTATAACACTATCAAGCTATCTTGTTATACACAAGGAAAACATATGACCAAGATACGATCGTAGATTTTAAACTTAGGGCGCTTGCGCAGTTCATAAAGATGCCATACATGACAAATTCTAAAAACCCAATGAAAGAGCGTCTGAAAACTCGAACAAAGAGCTCTTTTGCGAACCAGCCAAGCACCACTGCAGTTTCAAGCTAATTTACCGTGGTTTTCTAAACCATTCTAAAACGCAAAATTTGATACCAGTTGCAGTGTATTGGACACCATTAATATATCTAACTTTCACTTTGAAGTTCCACTTTTATCTTGACTTTTTAGCTTCAGAATATTTTAGTTGGACATTTTTTTAATTATTCATGGTTAGTTACAGTTTTTTATATCAAAAGAGCGAAACAACGTTGTAAAAGAAAAATGTCATAAATCATGCTCATTGTTGGAATTGTGATTATTTCGTACCAGTCTAGACGAAACTGATTTCTTATTGTGAGAAACGGATTCTTTCCATTAAGTTGTTGAATGGCATTTGATTCGTTTCAATTATTGTGTGGCGACGTGTAATAATTATATTTATTTAAGGAAGGCGACGTCATCTATATTCTTTTAGAAAAAAAGATAGTGAGGGACAAAAATCACTAAGTTGGAAGAAAATAACCAATATCAATCATGCATATGACGACGATTCACTATCCTTCTTTTCTTCATTACACATATATACAAAACAGACAGTTGAATCAGTCCGACGAGCAAAATATTTTTATTGTTAAATTTCTATATTCATCGAACAACATTTGTTTCTTCGTTAATAATATTTTCGCGAGTAATGCTGATTAAACGTGTTCACTAATACCTGAGAATGTTTCAACTTTAACTGACTTTATCACTGATTTTCTTGATTTATTTTAGATTTTTATTATGCCATCTAGTGTTGTACCACCATCATTACAAAGAACGAACAGTAATGGACAATTGAATGTGCATCTATTGATCAAAAACAAAATTAATGATGAATTATTAATAATCTCCCGAGATAAGTTACCACCAACATTACGTAATGGAAAATTGATCCTCAATCAAAAAGTTACAATTCGTGATGAACAACGTCAAAATATTGAAGGAACGATCATTTATATGCGTAAGTATTCTATGTCTTTTTTGATTTTGTTGCTTAAATGATTTTTTCGCAATAGATCATGACCGAGAAAACTGTGTGGCAATGAAAAAAGAATTACTTTATAAGACAAAGAATGGTGATAAACTGTTAGATGTATCTAATGCAAGTGACTCATATACGGCGCAGCGACAGTTGAGCCTGGGACAGTTGAGCCCCGACATCTGAGTCCACCGACAGTTGAGCTCCCGACAATTGAGCTCCCGACAGTTGAGCCTACCGACAGTCGAGCTCCCGACAGTTGTGCTCCCGACGGTTGAGCCTTTTATACATTATAAAGATGAAAAATTTATTAATAAAAATCTAAAAATTAAATAAAGCTGTGGCTTTCTTGAAATATTCATTTCGAGGATAGGTTGTAGGTGGGTGTGGGTGCCAGTATTCTCTACACCCACATGCAAACCCACCCACACCAACCCCACACCCACACTCACACACCCACACTCACACACCCACACTCACACATCCCACACTCACACATCCCACACCCACACTCACACTCACACCCACACCCACACCCACACCCTCCTGAAAATAATTTATTATTAATATTAGGACAAAAAAAGAAAAATTCATTCTCACTCGACTTCATATCTTAACTATAACGATTGTAAGTAAATCAACTATGACTAATTTATTTAATTTCTCATTGATATTTAATGATAAATAAAATTTTATTATTCTTACTGCAAATGATGGACAGTTTCTCAATCGGTATTTTGTCGAATAGTATGTGACTACCTATTGTACAATCATTTTCTATGTTTCTATTCAATCGCATAAGTTTTTTCTGATTACTTCTTTAGAAGAGGTTTCTTAGATGACAAGAATTTTCTTTTTTACTTACTTTGATTTTTTCATCATTAATTGATCAACCAAGAATATAAAAAAAAAGTTCATTATATTCTAATAAAATGGTTGAATCTTTTTCGAATGTATTGCAATTGCTGATTCGTCAAATTGCCATAGAACATCTAATTGAAATTGAAATAAAACAAACCTTTGAATGCTTTTTATTCAACATTAGGATTATCTTTTATAATCCTATTTTATAATTCATACAAAATTATTAAAAAAAAAGAATTTCTTTTATAATAGTCGTAACTGATTTAAAATTATTTTCACCTTTATCTCTAGATCAAAAAGAACTTTCGATAACATGTTGTTGTTGAAAATAATTTTAAAACTTCAAGTAATTTACTTAGTTTAACCATTTTGTTTATTTTATATTTGATTCATTTATTTTAAAGCTAAATAAATAAGTTTAAACATTTTTTGATAATCATAATAAATGAATGAATAGTCGACGGAAAAAGTCCAACGTCGATTGAATATTCACCTTCATCAATGAATGAACGAAAAACTGTTCTACAACAAATCTTTATATTAGATCGATAATTTTTACTGTAAATTATTATTTAAAAAAAATCAACTACTGCACTTGATCTATTTGAACTTGTTTTATTATACTAAATTCAATCAATATGATCGTAAAATAATATTTTTGTAAAACCTGATGTAATAAATAGCAAAATGATTAAATTTATAAAAATTTCTTTTTCATTTTCTTCTTTCAATTATCTCTTATATATATATATGTTACTAATCAAACAGAATAGTCGATAATTTTTTTTCTGTTCTTCTTTCGTTCAGTCATCACTCGCATAATATGATATTGAGTGCACGACATGTCATTTGTTCTTACACATTCCAGATGAAAAGAAAAATAAATTGAACATAACACGTGTAAAGATGACATAGATATCGTGCACTCAATATCACAGCCTGCGTCAAAACAACCGGTTGTCATCATACGCTGCGTGTATTAAAATTCCGTCGACGTCGTCTTTCTTCATGTCTTTTCGTTTCTGTTTCTTCTCGTTCTTCGTAACAGAAGAACTAAAAATTTAAAACAAACGGAGCTTTTGAGGGTGGCTCTAAAACAAAATGAACCTTCCCAGGGATATCCGACGTTCTGTTGGTAACCTGTACAGGCGTGTAAATGGTAGGCCTTTATAACATACATCTATGTATGTATGACTAGAAGCATTCATCTGATCATTGTCTTTCCGAAGATGATGATCGTGGATGTACTAGTCATTCATACATAAATGTATGTTTACCTTATCATTGCCGGCTTTGTCCACTGTACAACCCAACAGAATATGGATGGCATCCTTGGTCGCGCGTGCGCGAAATGTTTGTAGTTGGTGTGCTTCGGCGAGCAAAACGTGTTCAAGAAGGCTGATTTATTTTCTTGTTTAAAAAAAAACAATTACATTTTCTTTTTTACATTTTGAATGCTTCTTTTCGACTGTGCAATATCCGGATGGTTTGGTGGCAGTGATTTTTGTCGTATCTCGAGTCCTTTTTGGAGAAATGAAAGTGCATTCGAGTATTCGCCCATGTTATCATACACCAAACCGATGTTGTTGTAGGAAGTAGCCAAGTCGGGATGATTTGGAGGGAGAGCTTTCAGAGTGATCTCCAGGTCTTTTTCGTAATATGTAAGTGCTTTCGAGTACTCGCCCATGTTATAATACACCGAACCGATGTTGTTGTAGGATTGAGCAAAGTCGGGATGATTCGGAGGGAGAGCTATTTTTCGGATTTCAAGTGATCGTTCGTGCGATGAAAGTGCTTTCGAGTACTCGCCCATGTTATAATGCAACGCACCGATGTTGTTGTAGGAAGCAGCCAAGTCGGGATGATTCGGAGGGAGAGCTATTTTTTGGATTTCAACTGATCGTTCATACGATGAAAGTGCTTTCGAGTACTCGCCCATGTTATAATACACCGCACCGATGTTGTTGTAGGAAGCAGCCAAGTTGGGATGATTCGGAGGGAGAGCTATTTTTTGGATTTCAAGTGATCGTTCGTACGACGAAAGTGCTTTCGAGTACTCGCCCATGTTATCATACACGGAACCGATCTGATTGTAAGTAGTAGCCAAGTTGGGATGATTCGGAGGAAGAGTTTTTTGTTTAAATTCGAGATTTTTTTCGTAATATTTAAGTGCTTTTGAATTTTCGCCCATGTCTTTATACACCCTGGCAATTTGAAAATAGTATTCCGATCTTTCTTCGTCAGAAGAGGCTTTTTCAAGGAGTAATTCATAGAGATGTCCTGCTTTTTCAAACTTACCAACCCTAATGAGTATATCACCGAATCGAGACCATCCTGTAGTTCCTGCAATATCTTCGCGTAAATGTGCTGTTAATTTGTTAAAATCATCGTCTTGATTACCAGCGAGGGTGACAGTGACTTGCCAGAGACGATCTGTATGTTTATCTTCAATACGTTCTATACGATCGATGCGAAAAATTGTATGAGTGGAGAAAAGAATTTCTTCTTCTTTATCGTCGAAGAAGCCAACTTTTTTCACGTTGACGAAAGGTGTCGATGATGCTGTGCAAATGGCCGTATCGATGTTCATAATGAAGAGAATGCCAACTGTATTTGCATCGAATGCTGCCGGTCGTGCAAAGGTTTTGAAAGAAATCTCACGATTACGACTTGTCGATAAGAAATTATTAAAGGACATAAGTCCACCTTTGGTTTTCTTCATTTTTTCAAAGGCTTCCATGGATAAGCCTTGACCACGAAAAACTTCAAATTTTGATGGCATGGCTGCTTTGCTATTTTGCTGTTCACGATGTAAGTTTGTAATATGTTGATGTAGATGGCGGATGAAAAAGCCCATTTTAAGAATAATGTCGACATCCATTTGTCGAAGACCACGATTAAGCATTGAGTACATGAAATAAGGAGCCGTATACCACCAAATCGGTGTATGATCACGATATTCACGTTCGATTAGTTTAATTTCATCTTCAGATATATCTTCTTGTTCACGACAGTATGTAACAAGATCTTTGATAGATTTTCTATCGTCATCTTCGATTTCTAAGACTGCTTCTTTCAAAAGTTGTGTGTACATAAACAATGCATCAAGACCATTGAAACTGATCGAGATCATAGCTTGATCACATCGTTGTCGATCAATTTCTAGGGCTTTACAAATTGGTTCAATTTTTGTGTATACACCTTTGATCTTCGGTACCTTATTGGCCCATTGTTCATGATAAGATTGATTACTACAAAAAACGTATACAGATTCTAATTGTGGCATGGCTTCCGTTTCTGGTACTATTTTCTGTCCAAGTGAACCCGATACGATCATAAATGCCTTTTCCTTTGTAATACCACTAAGATAATCGAAACATTGTTGAGCATCGGTGAATGTTGTAATGGATGCTACAATTCGTCGTAATTGTTTTAATGTGTTTTGAAAATCTTCCTTTGACTCGTCAATATTGGCATCGAGCCAGACGAGAAAAAAATTCTGAATAATTCGACGAGCAGGTTGAGGAAGCGCAGCACTTCTGCCCATCGTTGACACTGATGCTGCTGTCGATGATGATGATGATGTTTTCTTTGGTTTATTTGTTGTGGAGGATGAAGAAGATCCACTAGCAGTTGATTTTGAATATTGCTTTTTATCCATTTGGATGATGTTGATAATAATGATGGTGTTCTATGTTTCGTAAATGAATGAATAAATAAAAATCTAAATACCTGTTCGATGGCGATGAAAAGAAAGAATGAGCAAAAACAGAATTCGTCTCTTTCTCTCTGTAGATAGTTTTTATTTTGGTTTTTTCTTCTTTCGTGTTGATACTTTCTATTTTTTGGTTTATTATTGTTATTACTATAGAAGACTTGAAGAATTTCTTATCTTAATCTTTTGTCCGTTCGTTTTTGTTTTTTATTTCAAGAGTTTTGTTACTGACGAAATGATAATGACAAAACATGTGACGAACAAAATCTCTGTGCATCTGGCATGAGAACGAAGAATCCGTCCAAAAAAAAATGAATCATTAGACTACTGATCGATCGTCATTCGTAGAAGAGAAAAAAATGAAAGATTATGAATAGAATCTCAAAATGAATTGCTTCATATATTGTTTGTTTTCATTGTTTTTTATTTTTCGTTTGCTTTGGTATCATTAGAAAATTCTTTTATCTTTGTCGATGTCTCTATGTGCAAGATACCTAGAATCAATAAAATAGGCCTCTTACCAAAAGACAAATCAAAAGAAAAAAGAAAAAACGAAGCTACTCGTTTCTATTGTGACCTTTTTTCTAGCAAAGTATTTATTTTAATCATAATACAGTGTGAAAGCAAGAAAGAAAGCAAATTCCTTTTTTAATTAATGTAAAAATGTTTAAAACATTTTTTTTCTGAAGATACAACAGAAGTTTCTTTAGTTTTTCGATAGAGATCATTCTCTTTTTTTGTTGAATTGGTTGTTTTGCTCAAGTCATTATGTTTTGTTATCTTTTGAAGTTTGCATCGATATCTCAACAAGTCGAGGAAGAAGCAGAAGGACAGACGACAATAAACTCATATAATAAAATCAATCAATGTTACTTGCATTGTTGTGAAGGTTTTTTCCAACATCATCATTGTAAGTAGGTAGTAAGAATGAGCAACGAAATAATATCACGCGTAGGTGTGATATCCTATAGATATAATGCTAATAGATTTCCACTAATAACGAATGTATTTTATTTATGTGAAGAGATATGAATAAAAACATGATTTTTTTTCATTATTTCTAATATTATATAGAATAAAATATTTATAGAATTCAAAAATGTTTGTTCTTGTTATGTGTATTATAGTTTAATAGAATTTATCACATACAACTAAATGTTATAATAGTATAACAAGAAAACAATCAAAAAATGTGCCTATCAGGCATACAATGAGTAGAAATAGAATTCAAAAAATATATACATGCACATGACTGAAATGAGAAAATATAAACATATACTAGTTTTTATGTATTAATAATTCGATATTGTACATAAACGTGATATGGTGGTTTTGTTAGATCATTATCATTATTCAATTGATATATCGTGAGTCAAAGATTATTGAATGAATCAATATAAATTATCTAATAGCTTAAAACAATATAGGAAACATTATTATTTACATAAATTAAAAAGTAAACATACTTATTTTTTGTTGAATGCAATAATTTTCATTTATAATAATAAAAGTCAACACGATGATATGGTTTATATTCAAGAAGTTTTTTTTTGAAATATAATATATATAAGTAAATGAACGACTTAATATTGAAATATAAAACTTTTTTTA